GGCGCCGAGCCTCTTCTTTATTTTTAATATTAACCTTAAGAAGAGGCTCGGTGCCCACACCTCAGTGAGTAAGGCGCTGACCACATACACTGAAGGTGGCAGGTTGGAGCCCGGCCAGGGCCTGCTAAACGACGACAATTGCAACCAAAAAACAGATGGGTGTTGTGACCAGCGCAGGTAGTCCCAGCTACTTGGGAGACTGAGGAAAGAGAATTGCTTAACCCTAAGAGTTTGAGGTTGCTGTGAGCTATGACACCACAGCACTCTATCTACCCGGGGTGACATAGTGAGACTGTCTCAAAAAAAAACAAAAAACAAAAAAACAAAAAACCAGGATGGCACCAGTGGCTCAGTGAGTAGGGCGCTGGCCCCATGTACCGAGGGTGCCAGGTTCGAACCTGGCCCCAGCCAAACTGCAATAAGAACAACAACAAAAAATAGCTGGGCGTTATGGCGGGCACCTGTAGTTCCAGCTACTCGGGAGGCTGAGGCAAAAGAATTGCCTAAGCCTAAGAGCTGGAGGTTGCTGTGAGCTGTGACGCCACAGCACTCTACCAAGGGCGACAAAGTGAGACTCTTGTCTCTTAAAAAAAAAAAAAAACCTCGAGAAGAGTCTGCAGGTGACCAAAAGAAATGAAAAGACAGGTCAGGCATGGTGGCTCATGCCTGTAATCCTAGCACATTGGCAGGCTGAGGTGGGAGGACTACGTAAGGCCAAGAGTTCAAGACCAGCCTAAACAACAAAGTGAGACCCCATTTATATAGAAAATAGAAAAATTAGCCAGGTGTGGTGGCAGGAACCTATAGCTTCAGCTACTAGGGAAGCTAATGCAGGAGGACTGCTTGAGCACAGGAGTCTGAGGTTGCAATCAGCTATAACGCCATTGTACTCTAGTCTGGGCAACAGAGCAAGACCATCTTAAAAAAAAAAAAAAGCGAGCAAGCAATATGAAAAGACATGAAGAGAAAAGAGAACCAAAGGATATATACAATTCTTTTTTTAATTTTTAGAATCTAGGGTTTCAGGGCAGCACCTGTGGCTCAGTGGGTAGGATGCCAGCCCCATATGCTAAGGGTGGCGAGTTCAAACCCAGCCCTGGCCAAACCGCAACAAAAAATAGCCGGGCGTTGTGGCGGGCACCAATAGTCCCTGCTACTCAGGAGGCTGAGGCAAGAGAATTGCCTAAGCCCAAGACCTGGAGTTTGCTGTGAGCTGTGACGTCACAGCACTCTACCAACAGTGACAAAGTGAGACTGTCTCAAAAAAAAAAAAAAAAGAATCTAGGGTTTTGCTATGTTGCCCAGGCTGGCCTTGAACTCCTGGCCTCAAGCAATCCTACCACCTCAGCCTTTCCAGTAAGGATACATGAATTTAAAAATACAAGTAGTCCCTAAATAACCATGTACCAAATACAGCATAATTAAGAAGAGAGTGGAAAACCCTCTGTGTATTAAGAACTGCTAAATAGCTTACCTTTACAGTTCAGAAAAGGCTCCTCTTTTGATTAATTTTTAACTCAGTCACATACCAAGGGGGGGTGGGTCAGGGACCAACACCCACCTACAGTTTGTTTTCACATGTTTGGCTGTCTGGCTTAACCAGATATAGGAAAACGCAACCAAATGGTGAAAACTGCTTTGGTGGTGTCAGTTCCTGGGCCCCCCACCCCAACCCCAGTATGCAATTGCACTAGATGAAGAGATCCTCAAGAACTAGTATCACCTTTACTATCTCATAAAGCCGATGCAAAGTCCTCACATACCAATCACAAAGGTGGTAGAATGGTTAAAAATATAGGCTCTGCAACCAAACTGCTTGAGTCTAAATTCCAGCTCTACTACCACATCACCTTAGGCAAGACACAAACTCTCTGACCCTCAATTTTTCTCTTCAGTGAAGTGATCATAGTAACAGTACCAACCCCTCAGGGCTGGTTTAAGGATTAAGTCAGTATCTATAAAGGTATGCCTGGATGTAGGTTGTACTACATCACCATCATTGTAGTTAACATTTCTGTAGGTGTTAGGACACAGAGTTCTATTAGGACACAACTACAGGAAATTCAAAAGGCCTCGATTTGGCAATTTTACTACTCAAGTATAGACTTCACTCTGCCATTTGAAGGCTTCTACTATCTGTGGTTTTCTCACCTGATTCATTCTTTTTAAGTCTTCGCACACATAATTATTATCTCCGAGTGTCTTTCACATTAAAAATAAAAAAATTAAGGAAATTAAGGACAGAATTAATAATCTCTTAAAGAGGTAGTAGGATGTAGCAAAAAGAACACTATTTCTGTTGCCAAGAGACCTGAGCTTGATCTGCCTTATAAACCACTTAAGCTACCTGAACCTTAAGTTTTCTTACAAGTAAAAATAAGAAAACTTTCTTCACAGTTGTACTGCTGGACTCAAAAAAAAAAAAAAAAAAAAATCAGAATTCAAATGGCTTCAATTATATCTAGTTTAACAGGTCCCAAGAGTCATTATTTTAAACATTCCCATTACCACTGGACACTTAAAAAAGCATCTGATATTTGAGTTTGCAAGTGTTTTTATCTTGAACATAACAACGTCCTGAATAAATGCCGCCTGTAAGAGCACTAAAACAAGGAAGTCGTGACATCTTTTTTTCTTACTGGTCCATAAGCTATTTGTGGGCAAGAGCTTTGTCTAATAATCTTTATACTCCATAGTGCCTAGCACTAAGTCTTGCACACAGTGGGCTATGAGAAGGAAATAGTAAGTAGAGGATTTGGTTGTACTTCTCTAAGACGAATGATTTGTTTTTTCCTTATTGATATTATTGTTCTATATATTCTTTTTTTTTTTTTTGAGACAGGAGCCTCAAGCTGTCCCCCGGGTAGAGTGCCGTGGCATCTCAGCTCACAGCAACCTCCAACTCCTGGGCTCAAGCGAGTCTTCTGCCTCTGCCTCCCAAGAAGCTGGGACCACAGGCGCTCGCCACAACGCCCGGCTATTTTTTGGTTGCAGCTGTCATTGTTGTTTGGTGGACCCGGGCTGGATTCGAACCCGCCACCTTGGGTGTATGTGGCTGGCGCCTTAACCACTTGAGCCACAGGCACCAAGCCACTGTTCTATATATTCTAAAGAGGAGGCTGAGAGGCTGACTTTCGCTTTCAGGTATGTTTTGTTGGCTCAAACAGTATTTTATTCATTTATTTAATTATTATTATTTTTTGGAGACAAAGTCTCATGTCACCCTCAGTAGAGTGCCATGACATCATAGCTCACAGAAACCTGAAAATCTTAGGCTTAGGTGATTCTTTTGCCTCAGCCTCCAACGTAGCTGGAATGACAGGCGCCTGCCACAATGCTATTATCATAATTTTTATTTATTTTTTTGAGATAGAGTCTCACTATGTGCCCTTGGAAGAGTGCTGTGGTGTCACAGCTCACAGCAACTTCAAACTCTTGGGCTTAAGTGGTTCTCTTGCCTCAGCCTCACAAGTAGCTGGGACTATAGGCACCTACACAATGCCTGCCTATGTTTTTGTTGTAGATGTCACTGCTGATTAGTAGGCCTGGGCCAGGTTTGAACCTGCCAGCCTGGGCGTATGTGGCCGGTGCCCTACCAATTGAGCTATGGGCACTGCCCTTATTTTTTATTTTTTTGGATACAGTGTCGCCCTTGGTTGAGTGCTGTGGCATCATACAGCATAGCAACCTCAAACTCTTGGGATCAAGTGATACTCATGCCTCAGCCTCCCAAGTAGCTGGGACTACAGGCGCCCACCACAATGCAAGGCTATTTTGAGGGCAGGGGGCCTCACTCTTGCTCAGGCTGGTCTCTAACCTATGAGCGCAGGTAATCCACTTGCCTCAGCCTCCCACTCAAATAGTTATTTTAAATGATTTCTGTCCAGTTTCTAAGTAGTAAGGTATTTCATAAAGAAATCCATATTTCTGGCTGGCAGTCTTCCTTTCTTTCTTTGGGATGTCACACCATTCTCTCAGTCCTTTTCTCTACTACCATCTTCCCTTCTGTCACTCCCTGCTCTCTGTTTCTCATCTCTTTCCTTTCCCTAATATAAAATAAACTTATACTCTTAGAGTCTAAAAAAAGAAAAGAAATCCTTATTTCTGGTTTCTCCCTCAAATTAGCAGTACTGGCAAAGCTCAGCCTTCATCCCCAAATGCCAAAGTTGAACTAGAGGTAATGTATTGCCTTCTTTTCCTGGGCTCAGAAGTTCACATTTAGCTCAGGAGGCAAAACAGCATGGTGGGTAAGAGCATAAGCTCTAAAATCCACCTGCCTGGGTCCACATCTGGCTCCACCACTTTTCTAGCTGTGTGATCTTGGGGCATGTGACTCAACTTTTTCTAGTCTCACTTTCCTTGTCTGTAAAGCAGGAATAATAGTAATTAATACTTACTGCATAGGGCTGAGTCAGGAATGAGTTAGTGCATGAAACAGAGTGCCTGGCATTGTAGAAAGTAGTTAAGTGTCAGCTATCGTTATCTGCCTGACACAGCAGGCATTGAGCTTTCCCACCCTTACGTAACTGATGTTTCTTTACACTAGCTCCTAGAAGCTCAGCAAACATACTGAACCTAAGAAATCCATTATTGGGGCGGTGCTGTGGCTCAAAGGAGTAAGGCGCCAGCCCCATATGCCAGAGGTGGCGGGTTCAAACTCAGCCCCAGCCAAAAACTGCAAAAAAAAAAAAAAAAAAAAAAGAAAAGAAATACATTATTTATCAACTTTATCATCTTTCTCCATCCTTGTTTTTTGGAAAGCCCCATTTAAAAAAAAATTTTTTTTAAAGGAAAGCATAAAAAAGGTTTCCTTCTAAGAACCAAGTGAGAAGCATTACTTGACACTCTTCTTGCCCCAGAATTGCCTAAACGGTAAGGTACTTACAAATGATACGTATTTGTTATTTCTTTTGGAATTCCCTCTCCAGGAATGACTCTACCCTATTCCAATCTTACTAATCCTTCAAGGCTCAACAAGCCTCAAACTCTCTCTTATTTCACCACGAAGAGCAAACAACTGCCTTCTGTGTTCCAGGAACACTTTATAGTTCTATGGCACTCACCAGCAAGCATGTCTTGACTAATTCATTCTGTATGAAGGACTGGGGTTCTTTGTTAAACATCTTTGCACTATCACTTTCCTGCCCCTTCTCCAGGGTAAAGACGACGCACATCGCCGTCACTTATAAATGATTTAACGACATAAACTGATTCTGCAACAGCAACAGAAGTAAACTCTGATCTAGCCCGAATATTGAAGGGGCCTTAAGCCCTGGGAAAATACTACGGTAAACGTTACTTAAACAGCACCCAAGAAAAGGCAAAACCGGGCCCCAAGCCTACAGGAACGAAGTGACCACCAGTCTCGGAAAGGGTCTAGGAAGCTACATGCACGAGCGTACTCCGCAGCTCCAGCCGGACAGAGCCAGGGACTCGCACTCGAGCAGACCCAACCGAGGCTGGACAGGCAATGGGGGGATGTACGCTCCAGCTCACGGGCTCCCTGGGGCCTAAGCTGGCTGTGCGCCGTGACTCAGCCCCTGGCGCCCGCCTACAGCCAGTCTCCGGCCTCCTCTCACCTTGGCCAGCTTCTCGCACTCGGGCAGGCGCTGATCCACTGTAGCGCTGTAGTCCACTTCCATCTTGACGATGCGACCGTCAGCCCGCTCCGAGCCGCCGTCCGCCATGGTCCCAGCTTGAGCGTCCCTGTCTATCCCCCTGCTTCGGCCACCGCTCGTCACCCACACCGGAAGCCGCCTGAGTACCCGCTCAGGCAGTGCGTCGGGAGCCCGCACGAAGGACCCCGTGAGGCCCCCGGTGCCGCCGCCAGTCAGGCACTGCCGCGGACAGCCTGGAGGCGGGGCGTGAGGCGCCGGGGGGCGGGGCTTGCCTCGCGCCGGTGCGGCTCACATGGGTGTTATCTTTGGAAAAATCAGACGTTTTACCTAAAATTTGCTGTAAGGAAAGAAGGTGTCATGTAATAGGTTGTCCCATATATTCTTACAGCCCGGCTTCGAAAAATGATTTCTCAGAACCGTGAACAAGTGGCTTAACTTTTCTTGGATGTCGGTTTTCTCTTCTCCAGGAGGCTGATATAAACCTTGGAAAATAAAGTCCTGAGGTTTTTTTAGTGCATGTAAGCGGAGTGCCTGGTGTTGTAGAAAGTAGTAAGTGTCACTATTATCAGCTTGGCACGGTAGGCATTGACTTTTCCCACCCTTATGTAACTGAGACGTAACTCTATCTGGTTGAGATTCTTGGTGGCGTAACCGGTCTCTGAAACCTCCTGAGAGAAGCTGTGGCAGCGCCAGGGCAAAATCAACAAGCAAAGAATTTTTTTGTTTCGTTTTTACTATAATCCACTGTGTTGGTAAGAAGAATCGTTAGACGTTTTGTTATCCCTGTGGACCTCTCGAGCACCAGACAAGATCCCATATGTGCGACAATTTCAATTTTTGACTGTACAAATTTTATTTTTCATCTGTACCATCTGAGTTTCTATAAAATAGCTTAGGATCCTAAAAAAGAAAAAGCTTCAGATCCTTGAAAATGGAAATGAAGTGTGTTGCATGGGCATATGATCCCAACAGTAGCCTGGAAAGCAAGCAGGAAATCTTTAGTGGTTCTCAATTTAATTATTGCCAATACCCCTGTATATATATCTTGAATAGACCAGTATTTCTGTTGTTTAATTATTCTGCGAAGAAAATCATGGACAATATAACCCATCACAGCGAAACAAGACAAATTTAAAAAAATAGTAAAATACTGTGTATATTTCTAGGCCCTGCTGTGGCTCAAGCTTGTAATCCTTGTGCTCTGAGAGGCAGATGCCAGAGGATTGATTGAGGCCAGAAGTTTGAGGTTAGCCTGAGCAAGAGCAAGAACCCCGCCCCCTCTAAAAAAAGAGGAAAAATTGGCTGCACGTAGTGACTGGCGCCTATAGTCCCAGCTATTCTGGAGGTTGAGGTGGGAGAATGGCTTGAGCCCAGGATTTTGAGGTTGCTTTGAGTTGTGATTATGCCACTGCACTCTAGTTGGAGCAAGACCCTGTCTCTGCAAAATATATATACGGTGTATATATATATTTCTAAATATAAAGGCTAAGACATGTCTACAGTAGAAAATATTAAAAAGTAGCCATTTGCTTCTGCCTGTACATAATAAATGTAAATGTGTAAGCTGCCATTGCCACAAGTGTGTTCCCTTTCTCTTGGTGCCTTGAGCACCAAGGCTCAACAGGGCTTACTGTTGGCTCAGGGATTTTTCTAAAATGGCAAGCAACTCCTTGGTAAAGTTCTGATTATATCAAAGTATAATCTTCCATTATTTTTTCCACATTGAATTCTTAGAAATTTTAGTTCATATTAAAGCTGAAAAAATAAAAACTAGCATGTCATATGTAAAATTGAGTTTGGGTCTAGGCCTCAGATACACAAGTAAGTATCTGGCAGGACATCTCAAATTCTGATGGAACATGGGACAATATTTTATTGTGTAGGTTTGTTGCATGGCAGGCTATACAGCATTTCAGTTACAGGCTGGTTATCTCCCTCTTCCCCCAGTGATTGTGACAACTCAAAATTTCCCTACAAATTTCTAAAACACACACTCTGGGTACCCTTATCATTGAGATGCGCTAGGCTAAGACTTTTTTTTACTCTGTACTATAGTCTGTGTGAAATCAGTTTAACTTGAGTAGACCAAAGGATCAGGATGTCTAAAATTTTGTGTCAAGAGTTTGAGAAGACAAAAAGTAACAAGGGTGAGGACAGTGCCTGTGGCTCAAAGGAGTAGGGCGCTGGCCCCATATGCTGGAGGTGGCTGGTTCAAACCCAGCCCTGGCCAAAAACTGCAAAAAAAAAAAAAAAAAAAAAAGGTAACATTGGTGTCATGGAATAGTCTGATTTATGATTTCTAGAACTCAAAATTAAGAGTGGGAGCTGGTCTAAGAGGCAAATAGGAGGTGGAGAAAAATAAATTGAAGCCCTTCCTTGCCAGGCTTAACAGTAGAAGAAAATGAAAGTAAACGGAAAGCTGGCTCGGCGCCTATAGCTCAACCAGCTAAGGCGCCAGCCACGTACACCTAAGGTGGCGGGTTCGAATCCCCAGCCCGGACCCGCCAAACAACAATGATGGCTGCAACCAAAAAATAGCCGG